GCCTCTGATTTATGTTTAATAATTTTAACAAGCTTGGCTGAAGAGGATTCAAGGTCCCCGAAGACTGGGAATTTCAAGGAAATAGAGAAGGGAGAAGTTTCTATGGGCCACAAGCTGCAGAGCCAGGCAGGAAACAATAAACACAGCACAAATGGCAGCCCCAGTGTGTAAAAGAAGGGCATCCAGACCATTCACAAACTTCCACTGCCCTGGAACAAACCCTGGGAACAGCTCAGGATGACAATTGAGGTTTTAAAGCTATCCTTGATTTAAACAACCAGAAATAGTTTTATTTTGTTCATTATGCTTTGAAGAAACAGAAGGCTGATACATCTTAGCACGAGTGGTAAAGCTGTTAATTACATGGCAATAACTGTTAGGAGTGTGTTGTCTCAAGCATGTAGACACTCAAATAAACAGGGGGAGACTCTTGCCTATATAAGACCCCAGGGGCTCCACATGGGTAAGTTACTCCCCCAGAACTCATTTCTCTTCTCTTCAGCTCCCCTGTGTATCCAACACTATAGAGCCCAAAGTGCTGGCTCCCCAGTTTTAGGCTAAAAAGGTATTAATAGTTTGGAAAAGTGTCCTAGCTTCAAATTCACTTTAGTGCAAATTCTAAACAAGGATTGAATGTTTTGGAGGAATTGGTCACTGCAACTCTGTCGCAGTCTACAACACTCAGTGAAATCCTAAAAGAGCAGATGGATTTGTTTTTCACCTGAACTGGTCATCACTATACACATCAGTGTCAATTTCCTCCCCCTGAAGAGTGGTTTGCTTGGTACTGGGACTTTCTTTTTATTTTACAATGTCCTAGACCATGCCAGTTAGATTAAGCAACTGAGGTGATTGTTTTTGTCAAGGTATGCATAATTTTTGCCCTCTCTTTCTCCCTCTCCTCTGTATACATGAATACATTTTTAGGGTTTCCTCCTCATAAAAGTTAACTTGGATCAAAATTAAAAATTGAAGTACACATAATCATTATGTGTTAATAGAATATAAAGTTTAAAATGTTTTAAAATTAAATTGGAAACTATATTAGTCTTTTTGTGTTGCTATAACAAAATACCTAAAACCAGGTTTAAAAAAATAGAGGCTTATTTAGCTCATAGTTCTAGAGGCTGAGAAGTACATGTGTCACCAGTTGGCTGAGGATTCTTTTGCTCAGTTGGGATAGAAATCATGAATTGGCAAAGAGCAACCACCTTGATGTTAGCAGCTCTAGGCTTCGGGTGCCAGTGGCTCTTATCTCTGAGTGTTATAGTGTTGAGAATTGAATTCCAGTGCCTCTCAGGTCTTAGTGTTATAGCCCTTAGAGTTACAGCCCTTGGCAGCTCCTTGTCGCCCCGTCAGCTTCTCAGGAGCAGAAGCTCATAGCCTCCTTGGCAGTGTTCTGGAACTCTTTCTGGTGCTCTTGTCAGGTCTCCACCAGTTGCCACCAGTCTCTGGTCTCTACCTGTAACTACTGCTCTCAACTCTTCACTGTTTCTCCACTGTCTGAAGCTCTTCAGGGCTAACAGTGTTACCAGTAAGTATCAATATGATCACCTGAGCAAGGCTTTATTGGGAACTGTGCTGCGGCACAGGGGGTTAGTGGACAGGTACAAGACTGGGTAGCACTGGGCTGTGGAGTGTGAGGAAGACCTACTTATAGAGAGGAGAAGCAGCCCTTGTATGTTCAGTTTCATGCATTTTGTGGACCTATCTGGGGACTTTCAGAATAGTGAGGGGGAAGGGTCACCTGGAAGTTATAAGGCAGAGTTATCTGGAGTGGCTGCAGGGTGGAGTTATCTGGAATAAGTCTACATTTTAAGCCTGCTGTGGCTGAGGCAGGTATCTCCCAGATTGACTGTGAGGCACATAGCACACCCTCTTGGCTGTCATAGTGACAACTTCAACAAACTTCAGGGAAGTACATACTTGACTGACAGCTCCCACCATTACCCCAAAATGATGGGACTGACATCATGACTACCCCACTTTTGAGGAGTCTCCAGGAGGGGCAGTCACATCATTTATCAACCAACTTTACAAGTTTACTTTCTGGCCAAAATGCAAACTTTTCAAATCATTCAGCTCTATGTTTTGCTCCTGATTCTCCATGTAGGTTTAGCTAAAAGCAGCCAGATTAATTAACCTTCCACATTTAAAGCTGTCTCTCATGAAGTCACAGGACATGAACAAAACATGGACAAAGTACTTGTTAGAATGAAATATCTATGGTTTAGTCCAGTTTCCAATGAAGTCCTTGTTCCTAACTGAAACCTCATGAGCTTGGCCTTTACTGACCTTTACTGACTTACTACTGACCTCATTCTTATCAACATTCTGGTCTTCTGTGCTCTGACCAGAATCACTCATCAAGCTCTACTTACAGTATCTCTAGCCTACATCTCCAACCTTTACCAAACCCTTCCTCTATAGGAAAGCTCCCAAAGGCTTCTGAGTTATATGGTCAGGTACAGTCTTAGCATTGACCCTACTTCTCTGGTTCCAGTTTTCTGTATTAGTAAGTTTCCCATCACTGGGACAAAATACCCCACACCCACAACTTAAAGGAGGAGAGGTTTATTTGGCTTATGCTTTCAGTGGGTTTAGTCCATGGTTGGCTGGTTCCAAGACAGAAATAGCACAATGGAAAGTCATGGCAGAGGAAAACTTCTCACCCCAATGGTAGCCATGAAGCAGAAAGAAAAGAAAGAAACTGGGGACAAGAATATACCCTCAAGGTCACATCCCTAGGACCTGTCTCTCTCAACCAGGCCCCACCTCCAAACACATGAGACTGTGGGAGATTCTTTAGAGCTAAACCATAACAGTGGTGTTATTTAAACCCACAGTCTGGTTAGCAAATCTGAATCTGTAGGAGAAGCTGCCTCATACAAGAGGTAGAACTGGTGTCTCAACATTCTGTCTTACACAAGTTCATAACAGAGGCAGTAACCAAGTCCATTCTGATACCAAGAATATATCCTTAGGCAAGAAAGATGCCTCATAGCTTTCCTCATTGGTAGCTGCCTACAAAAGACTAGTTGCCCAAGGTGACAATCTGTAAGATACTGGACTAAACCAGAACGTTTTAAATGAAACCAATTAAGATGGATTCCACACTCAACTCTTTACATAATTGGGCAAACATAAATTGGTCTTTTTCTTATTAGAATGAACAGCCTAGGAAAATTAAAATTAAAACAAGCCAAAATTTAAAAATCCTCAACAGAAATGGCCTTTTAAAATTGAGTACTCTAGTTATTTTTCATGCTGTTTTCTCTCTGTAGCAACCTATATGCATAAATAACCTCACCCTAACTCAGGTCATTCCACCAGTCTTGTCATTAGCTGATAGTTTGACCACAAAGGTCCTTCAGAATTCTAAAATGCATGGTCTATTGCTTTTTACTGGAAATGAGTGAATGACTCCGTGATCTAAACTTCTGTTATGAAGTTTTCTAAGTTTGGGGTCAGCCAAAGGCACAGAAGAGAGAAGAAACAAAATTGGAGAGGTAAGAGAAAACTTAATCAGACAAAGCATTTTCCATGGTGCATGATTGGGATAATCTATCAGAATATCCTTGCTGTACCCAAAAGTTTGAAGGTAATTTTGGGGGGGTCAGGCTTTAAATCTTTGAAAAGTCCCCGATTGAGCTGCACATAACCACAAGATTTTTGAGCACTTAGCATGCACTGGCTACTGTCCTAAGCATTGGGCAAATCAAAAGGCATGTGATTCAGCAGGGGCTCTGGGTCAGACAGAGGTGAGAAAAACCCTGAATCACTAATGACTGCTTGAGAAATCAGTGTAGAAATATGCAGCTCCTAAGAACTGTGAGGGTTTACCAAAACAAGGCATCTAAAGGAAATTGGCCTGAGAAAAAGACAGTGATCTGTAGCTATGAATCCCCTCTCCCATTCCTCCACTTCCTGTCTATGGTTTCCATGCCATTACCAATCCTTGTTAGCTTAACCATCCTCGGGACCTAGAATGCAGCGCTGGGGATGACGGCTGCCCCAGGAGGCTGAGCAGGGTGAGATGGGGCATGGGGATGAGAAATGGCTGAAGGTGTGCCAAACTGGGTTTACTCCACAGAAAGCAGGGTTTATTGTATGCCTATTTTTGAGCACTTGCTGTGCTGGATTCTGATACATGTTAAGTATCATTCATATGGTTTTGTGCAGAACAGGAGTAAGACGGGTGCAAAAGGGAAGGGGATCCTGTTTTCTTTGTGTGTGAGAGGGAAGAGGGGATGCAGCAGTGGTGGAGCCCTCAGGAACCTGGAAGGAGCGGGGTGGGATGGAGTCAGGAGTCACAACCCACAGGCAGGCTCACTTTGCACTCAGAAGTGGGATGCTTTCTTACTGCAAAAATCAAACCTGACACCATTCCCTAATTTTTCTTTCATTGTTAGCATTTTGTTCCCTCAAATGTTTTCACTTTACTGCTACAGTGCTTTAGAAAGTACCCGGCCAGGGGTATCATTCTCAAGACTATTTAAGGAAAGGCAGCCTTTGCCATCTCCACAGATGCTGAAATAGCCGCAAATGTAAGGATTTGCATCAGCCCTTGCTGCTATGCAAATCAGAGAGCCATTTGTCAGTGGCCTTGTTTATTTTTGTAAATGTGTGGGTAGAGGAGGGAAAGGGGCTGTTTAAAATGCACTTGAAACTTTGAGTTTCAAGTTGTTGAACTGTCCAAGAAGAAACTTAGGGGTTTTTTTCCAGGAATAAAATAAAACAAACCTTACTGCAGAAATACATAAAGCATAAATACACTTAAACTCCATAAAGCTGGCTGTTTGAGTAGAGAGTTGGAAGTTTTCTCTTCCAAATGTATAAGGTAGGTAGATCCACTTCACCTAAGGGCTCAGAACTTGTTGGTTCCCAAAGGCAAATGCTGGCCCTTGGCCACCATGCCGGTGGGCCATGATTCCCCCTACCCCTCTGCTCACTGAATCCTGAGACTCTATCCAGCCATGATTTCAGGATATGGGACTTACCTCCAGTTTGCCTCCTGCCTCTGTGATTTTTCTCACACCATCTTGGCTGCTGATACTTGGTCCTCAGTCTTCCTCCAGAGCCCATGTCTCTGCCTTGGACTCTTCGTGGCTGAACTATCACTGTTGATGCCCCTGAGCCCCTGCAGTGCTTCCTCCATTTAGCATCACATGTCTGAATCACATGGGCTATCAAAGACAAGGTGTTGTTAACATTAGTAACACAAAAGTATATCCAAGAAATCAATGAAAAAGAACAACTATGAAGAGAAACCAGGTCCAACAAACACTAAAGCCTGCAATCAAGGCTCTGTATTTAGAGTGATCTGGTACTGAGCACAAGACAAGACAAGCAGACTGATGGAGTAGAATAAAAATTCCCAGAGGAGACCCAAGAACATATGGAAATTTAGTGTAAGACAAAGGGAGGGGGGCTTAAATTGCCAGAGCAAAAATGGGGAATGCCAAAGATAAAATCTATACCTCACACTGTACACAAGATTAAATTCCAAATGGATCAGGAATCTGACCGTAACCACTTAAATCGTTCAAGGACAAGAAGAAAACATAAGTGAATTCCTCTCCTACCATGGTATGCAAACTCAAAATCCAGAAAAAAATGGATAAATGTGGCTATGTAAAATTAAAACAACATTTTCATGGCAAAAGCACCATATAGAAAGTCAAAAGTCAATTGACATAATGGGAAAAAGTATTTGTAACTTCTACCACAGATAAGACACTAATAACCTTATATTTAAATAATACTTGAAGGGAAGAAAATTACCAAACTCAGCAGAAAAACAGCAGAACGCACAGATATTTCATTCAAAAACATATATTGCATTTAAGCATAAAAGGAGGCATTCAGATAGCTCACAATTAAAGAAATGCAAGTTAAAACTGTAGCACTTCTCAATTATTAGATAAGCAAAATTTTAAAAGTATGAACATACATTCTTTTGGCAAGGCCAGCAGGAAACAGATTGGCACAACCCTTTAAGAGGGGAATTTGGCAGTAACTAACAAAACTATTCATGCATTTATATTTCAACTGAGACACCCCACTTCTAGGAATCCACCCTGAAGCTGCATCTCCAAAACAGCAATAATACAGATGGATGGTTTGTTCATTGCAGTATTGGCTGGTAACAGCTTAAACGCTCATACTTAAGAATAGTTAAATAAAAAATGGCATATTGGGTCCAGGGATTTAGCTCAGTGGTTCCAGTGCCTGCCTCGGAAGCGCAGGGTCCCAAGTTCAATCCCCGGTACCAAAAAAAAAGAATGGCATACCCAGTCAATGAAGTACTATGTAGCTGTGAAAAAGATGAAAGGATTTCTCTGAACTCACATGGTATGCTTATTAGGATACGCTACTGAGTAAAAAAAATAACTACAGGCACCTTTTGTATAAGAAAAAGGAAAACAAAAAAATCATACACCTATTTGTTTGATACCACAAAAATAGGGACAAGTTAACCTAAGAAATAATGAGACTAGTTACATTATCAAGAAATAGGTGCAAATGGGTTGGAAAGGATGGGGAAATATGAAAAGGACAGAATGGATGGGGAGGACAGAAGAGTGACTCTATTCTGATTAAGCCTTCTATATGATTTGGACTTTGACAGACGCAGTAATGAATATTTACTCACGATAGATAGAGTCTGGCATGGTGATACCTAACTAATCCCAGGCTGAGGCTGAGACTGAGGCAGGGGGACTGGAAGTTTGAGTTCCACTTGGGCGACTCAGCAACACCTTGTCTCAAGAGGAAAAAGTGAAAGTGTTGCAGATGTAGCTCCGTGTGAAGACTCTGAGTTAACCTACAGTATCACCAAAAATAGACAGATAGATAGAATCAACAAATATAAGAAAGGGAATCCAAACAGAATATGTCTCTGACTAGGTCTCTTAAGGTTTGGACAGAGAATGTTCCCCAGAACCTCATGCACTCAGAGGTGGGGCTTCGGGGAAGGTGAGTGAATCCTGATGCAATGGAGCTGGTTTGCTGTTAGGAGGCTGGGTCTGGTCAGGAGAAACTGGTCACTGGGTCGTGGAGTGGAAAGGTGCGTCTGCCTCCCCAGCCCCTCCTTTCTCTCTCTGCTTCCTGGCTGACATGACTTGAGCTGCTTTTCCTGTGCCCTCCTGCCATGTCATTTTCTGCCTTGGAATCAGCTGCCAATGGACTGTAACTGTCAGTCAAATATGGGGCCATTTAATAAAAATAATAAATAAATATAGAAACAGACTGTCATCCACAGTGTTCATGTGTTCATACTGAATAAATAAATAAAGGAACAGATGAATAAATAGGGAAGAAGAGAAAGCTTTTCCCTACAATAGAATTCCAAATAATAAATATAGAATAATGATGTGCAGAAGGAGTCACAACCTTCAGATACTGCAGCAATAGTTATTTCAGAAAAGATTTATCAATGAATGACAAAATTAGTGGGCAAAATGTGACAAACAAGATATTTACATAGTCTCAAAATATCTCCCCTACAGAAACTTATTAATTCCAAAGGGAAAATAGTTGCTTTACAGTGGAGAAATCTGGAAGACATGGCATTAATCCAGTGATCAAAGTTAATGTCAGCAGTGATTGGACAAACCAATATCTAGTGCCTTGTACTGTGCACCGAAGACACAACATAACTGCTACAGTACTTTCACCAAAAATGCACAGCCCGGATTTATTCATGAGGAAACACCCAGACCGAACAACATTCCGCAAAAGTAACTGGCTAGTACTTTTGTAAAGTGTCATGAAAGACAATGAAGGGCTGAGGAACTGTTCTAGACTCAAGGGGGCAGAACAGAGCAAGAAAAGAAGCCAGAGTGCAAATTGGAAGAGGAGACCAAGGGAATATGGCAGCTACATCCAAGATGTCATTTAGATCCAGGCCATTGGAGGGCAAACTGGTGAAATCTGAATAAAGTTTGTGGACTATTTAATAGACTTGTATCAATGCTAATTTCCTGCTTTGGAGAATCCTACTGCAGTTATGTAACATGTTAACATTTGGGGAGTCTGAGTGTTCAGGAATTCTCTGTAACATTTTGTAGATTTCTTGTCAGCTTAAAATTAATTTAAGATGAAAACTTTAAAAGTTTTCATTTTAAAAATCAAGACAAACAGCAAGCAAGAGCACAGACTTCTAGTTAGGACTCTAGTAGAATGTAGCATGTGGAACCGTTTAAGTAAGGAAACAATAATGCTTTGTGAAAGCCTGGGCTGAGCACCTTGCAAATGTAGGTTCCCCTCTGGCCTTGGTACTTACTAATTGTGTAATGCCGGGCTAATCCCCTAATCTTTCTGAGCCTCAGTTTCCTCATCTGTAAAATGGGTCACTATAATATCTACTTTATACAACTGATTATAATAACCTATATTTATATCAATATTATTGTTTATAATCAGTAAGTAATATTTGTAAAAATCTTACTGCCAACTCAGCCAACAGAACTCAGAGTGGTTGTTATTTTGGGTGTTATGATCAGTCACATCAATGACTAGTTTATTCCTTGTGGGTAAATTACACACCACGTGTTGAAGGCCCTCTTTAAGGCCAGGGAGTTAACCCCTAGATTATGTTTCTAAGGTTTTGAGGTATTTCATTATAAGTAAATGCAATGCATGAAAATTTAAACTTGGAAAACAAGTAAATAGTGGGTGATTTTTTTAAAGACAAGATTCACAGGCCTCTTAAGAACCAAATTCCACTTGATTTACCTTTAATTTTGCAGTAACAGACATTTGACATACAGCAATGGTTTGTGCTTGGCCCTAAGCAGACTGTGAAAGAACTAACACTGGGTGATAGCCGTGGGCAGACTCTGACCCAGTAATAAATCTTAACAATGTCAGTTCTTTTGAGGGGGCAAAGAGAAGTCAAACTCCCTAGATAGTTTTTTCTTTGCAGATTGCAAACTACTTAAATGTGATGGCATAGATCAAATATTTGAGGTTGAAGATTGCTTGTAGGTTCATGGTTTCTCCTTTAATCCATTTCCGAGATGCCTCCAGGATAAATAATGGGCAAGTACAGAGGAGTATGGCTACACAGGACCCTGTTTCCCTGCTAAGTCAAACCCAGAAATGTCTGGTGTTTCTAGTAATATGTTTATTTTATAAAAAGGATATAAGATCAAGAGACTTCTTGGCAACTATTCCGTTTTTAAATAAGGGGTGCAAAGCATCACAAACAAAATATGCCACTCTGCTAGCCTCCAAATATTTCTAACAATCCTTTAAGTCTAGGAACAAAAGCTAAATTCTTGAATAAATTCTCTTATCTTCAAAATGTACTCCAAAATTTTGGAAATCCTAGCTTTTGGACATGAACCAAGAAGAGTTTCCATCCTGTCATTTGGAAAAGCTTCTCAAATTCCCTCTAATTGTAACCTGAGCAGAGATGTTGTTTTACAGTCCTTTACTGACCCCTTGTTGGTTCTCACGTGCTCTGGTCACAATGGAATGGATATTCCAGAACACCTTTGTCTTGGAGCCCTCATCCAACATGCTCCCTTCACTGGCAGACATTTCCACCTCATATTGCTAAGATCTGATGAATCTAAAATAACATCCGCTAAATCATTGTGTTGATATCTCAACATTTATCCAGCCCCCTACCCTATCCTGCCCCTGAACAACTGGAGACCCCACCCTCTTCTTAAGACTTACCCTCCACTTGGATTCTCAATCTCATGCCCAGAAGCTTCTCCCAATGTCTCCTTTTTCTGATTTTTCTATCAAAAATACATAGGTCTCCCTTCTGCATTCTCTAAATGCATTGTATTCAATTAGCTTGATACTCACTGTTTCCCTGTCCAAACCACTTATCCTTTAAAATCTGTTGTCTATCCTCACTTCTGAACGGAAATAAATCCAATGACTTTTAATAACTATCCCTCTTCTCTGTCTTTGTAGCTTCCTACTCTGGTGGGCACATCTGGCTCAATTCTAAGTCTTAGCTCTTCACGTAGCACGGACTGAAATCTCCCCTTCTTCATTTATCTCTTTTCTGCTCATCCTTAGATGTCCAACCTGAGACCCTGTGCAGCAGTGACGACTTAGCAGAACCCCCCTTCTTGAGCGTCTTGGAACACTAACTACTGGTAGGCCCCACTGCATCTCATAGTGGCACCCTGTGGTTCACACCGTCCTCATCTCATGCAGTCTCGCCCAGCTGTTTTTCCTGGGCCAAGCAGTGAGCCTGTGTCCCTAGCCGTGCCAACCTGACTTTCTCTCCCAGGACCAGGAATCTGGAAGGGAGTGACTGAAGAAGGAAATGGACACAGACAGGCCATCCTGGCTGCAGAGAGTGGTGAACGTGACTAGTCACTTGCCCTAGACCACCCCCCACCCGGCAGGCACAGAGTTCCTTGTGCGTGGCTCGTCCACATGCCCGTTGTTTCTGTGAGCCCGGTATTTTCCCCTTGAAGTTGGCCAGAGTAAATATCTGTCCTCTATAAATCCAAAAACACTTAACTAGGACTCTCTTATTGCCTATAATTACTATTATTACTAATTCTTACTGTTTAATTTGAGGGAGGAGGGGCTAATTATGTCTTGTGAACCAATAAGATGAGAAATTTCTTACGTGCAAGAACTGCAGTGACCCTATTATGTACATCGGAATCGGGCCGTAAGTGACACTGAATCAGCTTGTAGCACTACTTTCATTACAGTTTGGGGAAAAAAAAAAAACAGTTTTTGAGCAACTCAAGAACTACTTATGTAGTGCCTATAATTGTGTGATAGTAAGCACATATGAAAATATTCATCTACAAAACAGAGGGACTAGAATAATTATCTTTGATCAACTTTGTGATTCTATGTTGTAGTTATCATTCACTAATTCCCAAGAACAACTATTGTTTATGCACTAGGTTAGTCACCAGAGTTGTGCATAAGATGAAAAAGATATGCTATCTTCCCTGGCTTCAGTACACTTTTCTGAAGTTATCTGGAAGTGCTGGTTCCAGTTTAACTTGTGTCTTTACATAATGAAAGTACCTGGCCTTACTTGACACTTTTATTTCTAAAGCATTTTCATTTTTAACATATCATTTATTTTTCCTGTTGCAAACATGAGGAAGCTGCTGTTGGGTCATGTGACTAAGATCAAAACCAAAGCTACAATGAGAAGACAGGTTCTTTAATTTACAGCGATGTTCCTTCCTTCCCTTTCTACAATAATGAAAAACTTTTCCTTTGGGACACAATTAAGTACTGGAATTATATTTTATTTAATTCCTGCATTACATTCAACTCATGAGCTATTCTCCTGCTGCAGAAGATAAAGGCAGTTTCTGGGTTTCTTCAAGGGGAAAATACCAAAAATACTATTTGATTACTGATACATTTGGTCAGGAATTATTTATTTAGCACATGACATAGACAAGGCACTGGGTTACCCTGGCACAGTAACACTGGGCAAGACACACAGCCCCTGCCCTCACGGAGTGTACATTCCCATGGGAGAGCATGTCGGAGCCAATAATGTGAGGAGCTGAGTGTAGAGATGGAGCACATATACAGGTTCCCAAACCTGTCACAAGTAATTGGAATTAGGTTCTCAATCTACTCCTATCATTTGTATATTGGCTGAAATTTACCAGCCTTATTTTTCCTTCCCATTCTAGAGGCATGTCCCTTTATCTGTAACTTATCATTTCTCTTCAAAATTTCCCCTTCTTCATGTCTCCCATCCAAACCCTGTATTTCAAAGGTGACTCCTAACACTTTTCCCATCCACAGAGTATTCCCAAAGGTCCCTCATGTGGCATTCTGATGGACTCTCAGTGCTCCTCGCTGCTCTAGAAAAAAATCCTTCCCCGCAAAGTAGAAAATTCTCTTGGTTGTGTTGTAAATGGTCCAGGATGGGACCAGAGGACCAAAAAAGCAAAGGGCATGCTATTGAGTTTTTTAGGAATGCATTTTTGGCAAGAAGAATGTTTGTACCCAACTTTAGGCTATTTTGCTTCTAGGATCAGTAGAAGTATATAAAGCTTTTCAATTTTCTTCAAAACATATTCCATGTAACTGATAATAAAAAGAATAATAGTAGCAAGTTACAAAGCAAAACTAGACTGGAGCAGGTGTGGAAAGGGCATTTGTCAGCTTAGAACAGGCATTTGTCCATTGTTAAAATGTACAGCTTTCTAGACAGTCTTAAAGAGTTACTATCATTTAAA